TTGCTCAGTGGCACAATGGCAAAGAGGTCGGCTTCAAACGCTGAAGGTGCGAGTTCTAAGGCACAGACGAGACAACGTTTTTCTTTACGACGAATTCGCTTGAAGAAGGATTTAATCCAACCACGAAGCTTCGGTACGACCAGGCGAGAAACTGGTAGCAAGCTGCTGACTAGTGAATAACAGGATAATAAGCATTGAATACTGGTTTAATCATACCAGAATGGTCGAAGTGTATGGCCATCTTGGCCAATACGAGCGCCCCTTGTGGCTGCACTTCTTCGTAACACTTTTGATACCTATATATCCAGTGTGACGATCAGCATAAAATAAAACCTCCTTCACCCCCTCCCCCCGATGCAAATACGTAACTGTGCAGAATCGAACTTCATCGTCCTGACTAGAGGAAGTGCGCAAGGGCTGAAGTAATGATCCAAGACAACGCGAAGTACGATGCAGGGGATATTCATCAGCAGAGGCGGTAGCAAGCGAAGAACCCTGAAAGGGTCGACCAACGATTCAATGATAACCGGGGCTGTCAGAGCTGGTTACGGATTTTAGAACAGATTTATTTAAAAAGTTGCATGTGGCTATAAACCCAAGTGACTGGATTAAGTTCACCGCCTCTGTTAACCTCAACGACAACATGATACCAAAATTTTTTAAACGACGTTTCACGGTGGGATGCGTAACATAATATTGGAATATGAGAATAATGAATATTGTTCAAGTCAATTCTACCGTCAAAACGGAATATACCGTAATCAAAGTCGTCATCATGTCGAAATCGCTCTCGACAAAGGACGTCGTTATCACCGTCTGTACTGTTCATGCTTTCATTCATGGAGTCACAAGATCCTCTGCGCATCGGAAACCTCAAAATTATCGGTCTGTTCGCGAAAAGAAATTTCCAACGAGATTGGAGTCAGAGCATAACGCAAGTAACCGGTTTATTCTAACAACAAGCTCCTGCGACGTTTCGGTGTACATCCCTCAGAGCCGCTTCAGCGCAAACTTTGCTAATTACTGATAAGATCAACGACCTTTCAGCGGATCCTACTCAAAACAAACCAAAAGTAAAGATTAAAGCGTTTAAACAAAGTACCTTAAAGCTTTAAACTTTAATAACCTCTGAAAAACTTCACTCACTTCAAGTACATCATTACTTTCGAGCATACTGTTATGAAAGCCGCAAAGAACCTCAAAGAAGAAGCGCAGTGTTGTCGAACAAAGCTGCTTATGAAGCAAGCGCACGCCATTGCTAGTGGTGCTTGTCCTTCTTTTGTCACAGAAAAGGTCGAGAGCATCCGTTGATGTTGGGTGCAGTGAAACTTAGCCTAGCTTACAACGGCAACGATCGCGATGCGTCGTCGTCACGCAGTCGATCGCGATGTTCCTCCTGTTCAGCCAGATATCGACGATGCAAATGACACCGAGGTGTCAGTTACATGAGTTCGTCTCTGATCAATACCTCAATGTCCATTCATAAAATCGATGAATCACGATCGTTCAGCTGAAAGTTGGAGAGAGAGAGAGAGAGAGAGAAGGCTCTGTCACTGATCTACGTCATCGCCGTCGTATACCATATTGATCACCGATGTTAACACCGGTGATGATTTACACTGAACGAAAAACGCAACGACGCGTCCAAACACCAGCCTGTCCAAAAGTAGGAGAATGAAACAACGTTCTGTATCACTATGCCGGTTGTGTTCACATCATTATGTATATATACCGTAACATACCAGTAATATATTGTCTAGTATACTATTCGCACGAAAGACTGCTTCTCGTTATTACTGCCATAACGCACAGGCTCATGTATTAAAGCTGCTGCAAACGACGATATCAACACCAATCAATGACCAACAGACTTACATCCACTGAAGAAGCTTTGTGAGATTTCGCCCACTGCCCAGTGATCGAAACGTCCGTAATCGTCCATCAAGCCATTCACTAACTCCTTTACATCGTGTATAATTAAACGCTTTTTATGGTGCTTTACTATACATGCAATATGATACTATACGCTGTATGAAATATATTTTCGAAGATTGAGTATTTTGTTCGAGCAGTCGTGATCGTATTGAAAACAGCATAAAACATGTCTTAGTTTTACACCATGCAATTAATGTGGTTAGTCGGATGATTAGTTCTTCAAGGCAGAGATTTGGGTTGACATCAGAAGTTATTGTGGCTCTAAACGTTAGAACAGTGGTGAACGGCGAAAAAAAGCCTCCTACGTCAACCCTCCTCAGTACACTGAAGAAGGATCCTGAAATACGAGCCGGAACTCCCACTGGCCAATCATCCGATGAACCATATTGTTTGTATTGTGTAGAGACAAATCATGCTTCAAGCTGTTTGCGGTATGACGTATTTCACACGTGTACTTTTAAGGTCATGCTGTAGGTGAGAAAAAGAAGTACCACAACAAAACTGCGATGTTCGCATGCCAAACCGAAGGTTTAATAATCGCCTGGTCCACATGTCTCACTGCAGTTGGCCGGAGTCATGGGAGCAACAGTCATAACGAGGCAAATTCGCGCAGCAACTGTACCTCCCCTCTGTCCCGCATGCTTTGAATTATGTGCGATACTTAACAGTGAAACAAACACCTCCGATACTATAACAGCACGGCACTAACGATAGACGTCCTATCCTGTATAGGATGAATGCCGTGCCTGAGCATCAACATAAGTAATCTTCTTTTGGGTTTCTTCGCGCTTCTAGTTTTGCATGACTAAAGCCGAAGATGGGACACGGTCGAAAGCGGTGTGCGCTGGATTCTTGCTTGGATTTAGTAAACGTCACAAAGACAGATCGTACGAACACCGGCACTTTTCTCCAGTCAACAGGTCCTGAAATGCCGTACGCAACAGTTGGTAGCCACAGCCAACAAGGTCCTCTCATTCATGCGATATACGACCGTTGTGAATTATTATCGTTTTAACGTCCCGCAGTCCATACAGTTGCTGTGGTTGCTCAGCTGTGGTGTTCGAGTGCCAAGCGCCACCGAATGCCGTCGTGGTGATCAACGCGAATCAGCGTGCCTCGTCGAACTCGATCATTTTTTTTAAGCAGTCCGGAAGACGAGGTTCGACGCTCGACGGCTGCCGATTGCTGACGTCTTTACTCATCATCTAAACTTAACTAAGGCCTTACGACCTCGGCAATTTTCGGTGAAAATTTATTAGCCTGGCAGCTAACAGAGTTTTGGTATGCACAAAGAACAAAGATTCATCATTATCGTATATCGTCAGAAGAATATCACCATTAACGAATAAAAATACCTTAATGTCTCTCAAACCAAATACAGCGTAATCTGATCATTTGAAAATTGCGTATATTTCGAATGTTCTTTGACGTTTAAAACTGAACAAACAAGTATCACACTTTCACCTAATAACACCCAATAAATCTGCCTCACTTCAAAGTACCAGTACATTTAATTCTGAGTAATTCAAAATGAAGTTTATAAAAAAAATAATATTCGTAAAATTATGCGTTTCGCCCGTCCTGTGTTCATGATCTGAAGCGTGATTGATATATGCCGTTACGACTTGAGACAATAAATGATTAGCTATCGTTTCACACGATAAAGGCTACATCTCAACTGCGCATGATATATATGACCTTCTCAGCTATACGTGTCAAGGGCACGATATTCGCCAGTGACTAAGGGTGAAAAATCTGGACATGTCATGGAACGCATCGCGATGAGGAATGCCCAGATATTCAAACGAGACAAAGCTAGTGACTAGTAGTTCAGACACGCGCGTTCTAGGAAGTACCATTGTCTAGTCTACCTTGACATCGATCACCTCGATAACGGCACTAACTAAACTTTCATGCGAACACGCAGACATGCATAAAAGCATGTCTGGGACCGGATTCTTCCTCACTACCCTCCCTCCATCACAAGAACAGCCACCTCATCTTCGAACTAGAGGAAAACAGGTATTTGAAGGCATTTATTAACGAATAAGTCAACAAAGTGGACTGGAAATTAAACAAGATCCCCAACCCCGGAAGAACGACAACCACCAGATAGGACTTCCAAAATCGCCATCCGTTTCTCAGTGATCCTGAACCAAAAGAGCGTTAAGTGAAAGAATCAAACACTTCATTACTACGTACGGGTATTCACGGCTTGCAGATCCCGAAACAATTTGGGTAGCGTCCTAACGAGGCAAGAAAGACATCATACCAAAACAGGAGAATGCTGAAAAAAATGGGTAAATTGCTCGTGCAGAGAGAGCTAAATGGAAGAAACCGGTTCAGTGAGCACGTGGTTTGTCTCTCAGCAGAGAACGCAGATTGACACCGTCGCTGCGAAGCACAGTATACTGAAGAACCAGGTCATACAACGGGATGCAAGTAGCATCGTGTGCAAG